CAGTCCAGGTTTTGTTTTTTCTAAGTTGCCGAGCTATAGTATCAAGGCAATATTTAAGGTTCTTCGATAGCGGAGGGATGCAAGAGTAGGGATTTGCTGCAATGCAAGAGTGCTGCAATGCAATTTGCTACTATGCAAGAGTAGGGATTTGCTGGGGGTAGGACTTGCCTCCTATGCTGAACGAAAGGGCCGCAGCAGGTAAAACGCTGCGACGAGTGTACCAGTGGGAAGACTCCCATTTAAACCAATGCTTTGTTAGCAGTGGCACACCTGTCATAAAGAAAGAAAAACTGAAAGAAAAATTTAGTTCATAAGTCTAAAGACACTAGTTCCAAACAGAAATGGTTTCAGATAAGCAAACATAGAAGAAAAATAAGGGGGGGGGGGGGGAAACAGCTGGCCAGGAAAAAAAGAAGGTGAATTTTCTTTTTTTAATATCTGGCTTCTGATCCAGTGTTAACGTCTGTTATTCCTACTTGCTAAGGTTATGTAGGGCTCCTTCACATTAATAGACGACAGCCAGCGTGGCTTCTGTACACGGCGTCCTGGCAGCAAAGAATACTTTAATATTGGAGGTCTTCCCAATGCCGCCAGATTTCTTGCTTCTGTTGTCTAGCCTAGTGGTGTAACGCATCACCATAAGTAGCCCGATTGGCAGGTGTGCCACTGCTAACAAAGATTGGTTGTTTAAATGCGGCAGTCTTCCTCACTGGTACATCTCGTCGCAGCATTTTACCTGCTGCGCGCTTCTTTCGTTCAGCATAGGCAGGCAAATCCTACCCCAGGCCAAAACCCTACTCTTTCCATGCACAATCTGGCTGGTGCCCCGTGGAAGTGTCTTGCCTTATGGTTTAAACATCGCTAGTTGTCCACTGTCAGGTAAGGGCTACTTCTAAATCCTCTTCCCTTACCAAGTACAATAGCGGCCTTCATATCATGATCTCATCTCAGCAAGACCTTTTAAACCTATTCATTTGTACTTGATTCCAGCTAACGGAGATCTAACAGACTTACAAACCTTATGGCTGCATTGTACTGATTTGAAAGTCACTCAAATTGTCAAAGTTGGAATTACCAAAATGATACTATTTCGGGGGGGGGTGAATCGAAGAACCTTAAATATTGCCTTCGATTACTATAGCTTCGGCAAACTTAGAAAAAACAAAACCTGGACTGCCGCATTCGCAAAAAGTGCGGAGGAGAAGTTCCCCTCTTGAGTTCAACTTCCCAGTAGGTGACGACTTGACTAACGTCCTGAACCCTAGTTATGAAGTGTGATAACCTAAGCTTTGCAAGTTCGAATCGTTATCGTTGCCAGGCGGATCCAGGAGTTTCAACTGCAGCTGCTCCTTTCCGAGAGCAGTGGGGTGGTGTGGCTTAGCCATGCTTCTCGAGTATTTTTGCAACGCCATGATGGCTTGTTTCTACGTGTTCGAGCTAAAGTTTCCTTTAGTTATAGCATTGTTTTAGCTTTATTGGCTTACTTTTAATATAGGAACACAGTTGTTTTACTTTGACATAAGTTTGTGTAACGAGAGCTATATCTAAAGTACTAAGAGTATGGTAATGTAGTGCTGCAAAAAATCAGATGTTGAGTGATTTGATGAGAAATACGGTAACCACACCATCTGGTGGCTTGCCACCGATCTCACCTGATACCTGGTTATGGCAATCCAGTGTTGCCCAGCAGCTCTATCTGTTGACTCACTTTTAATAGAGCTTACATGGGAGCACCGCTGATAGGCTTAGTACTGCATTGAAACATTTGGCAACGGTGCCCCTCACCCTTGTTCTGCGCGTATGTTAAAAGAAGAGTTAAAAGTGAAAATTGCCTTACATTCTGTGTCTGAAATTCTAACTGCTATTTTTAGGCTCTAGAACAATGTAGAATGTTTGTTATGAAGAAAATTTTGTGAACAACTGGATTCATCCCATTTTATCTCAATGTAGCTCAAGAACTACCAATTTTCATTAATATTTGCACCTATATATGAAATGAACGATGAACAATGCACATATATAGGAATATAAGTTCTGTCTAATAAACATTTTGCCGCCCGCTGTCCAAACACAATGAAACCCATACAACAACAAAATATGCTGAATTTAACTGTGAGAAAGGCACCCCATTTAGATTGCTCTACTAAACTTTCTAACCCTTTACTAATAATTATACATTAACTACCAAAATATATTCGTCGCTATTAAATTTATGCTGTTGAATCATCAACTGACGAAAAGGTACAAGTTGGTAATTATCAGTTAAAAAGGAAAATATTTTCAAGCCAAGCACCTCACCTTCATCGAGCATTCTTTGTTGAGAAGACAGACAGAGCAGACAAACACAAGAGAGAGAAGAGAGGGATAGTATATACCTCCTTAGTCATGCAGACAAAGAGGAGAGGAAGGAGAATGATCAAAGACACAATGTCTTACCAGTTCCTGCTAGAAATTATATGAATATATTATTGAAACTACTCAAAGGTTGAAATTAGTATCTTTGCAGATACCTATTTAATTGTAAAACGGATTATCTTTAGTGATAACATTACTTTAATTAAAATTGGTAACTAAATGGTTTTATAACAGTTCTGTTGTAAAAATGTTTGAAAAACAGTGTCGCACTTGAAATATTTACATGGACAGTATTCCTGGAGTTAGCCCTGAGATCTGCAAATACCAATGCATAAATATTCAATGTTATCAGAGATTGAGAATACAAAATAATCTGATATTAAAGACTGCACATTTAAAATGGTAAATCGTAATAGATTATGTCTGCAAATGGAGATCCTCTTATCTTTTTCAATAAATCGAGAACAATTTTAATACCAAAACACTTATTGCTATTAAGATCGATATTATTTTCATATTAGGCTTGTTGAAACATAAGGAATTATGCATGCAAAATATTGTGAAAATCCTTTCTATCCAATTAGTAATATACAAAATCATATTCCATAATGATATTTTAACCAAAGACAATCATTTTCCCTTGAATATTCTTACACAAGATGAATACAGTTTATTACCTCTTCAGTTGAGAATATTTCTGTTATAAAATTATGTATTAAGTTATCTCCTATGTATGACAATTCCATTAATGTTGAAAGAAGAACTACTTAACATTAATTTCATTACCCCAAAGTAAATAAAATTTCTAATAATATGAGTATCTAGCTTTATCTTTGAGATTCAAGCCCAGAAGTATATATATACCCGACTACAATTCCAAATTAATGCACTACATGAATGATCTACTTCCCTCTCCTCTTCTGTG